GCTTGGAGTGTTCCCTAATAACCATTCAAAACCATACGCCGTCAATGCAATCGCACAAAAAACCAAAATTTAGACGGGCTGGGCAGTTTGCTCGACTTGCCAATGAATAATGTTACTGAGTGGCATCCACGCGGAAGACCTATCATTTGGACGGTATCGGAAGGAATCGTAATACATCGATTAAGCGATAGGAACTGATAAGAAGTAAGGAGGCTAGGCCCAGCACATGGAAGTATCTCAATAATACTGCAAACACGGGATCATCACACTAACCGTTCGAGCAGTCTTGGTCACAGACATGATAAGGGTCAGCTTCCGCGTATCCGTAAGTTTTGAAAAGAGCTCTTATTATGAAAATAACAAAAAAGCAAACCTTGTCTTCTTGCATATCGTTCATGTGACTGCATTTTTCGTTTCTTTTCATCAGCCTCTTCCGAAGCCTGCAAAAATTCCCTCATTATTTAAAGTACTTAATCCTTGCCCTCCTTTTCTGGATGTTTCAAATCACAATCCAAATGGTTATGAAACAGATCCAAAAAAAACCAGACAAGGGAAATAATGGATGATTTTCCACCAAGACTATATGGATTATACGTTAACTAGCTAACACTTTCTCCTGCTAAAGTCATAAAACACAATATCTCTTCTTCCTCAAAAAACTGGCATTTCTCTCCTCCGCCCTTATCTCCTGAAGTGAAAAGAAAAACACCACTCCCAAACTGTGTGCCTTCTTAGCCGCTAAATAACTTTATTTGCTTTTTAACGCAATTTGGCGCTCCTTAGGAGGCCCTGGCACTGGAATTTTGTATCCGCTGAACTGATTTATAATTCCAGAAAGCGGTTTATATGAATTCCTTGAATAAAAGAAGTCTCTGATTGTAGTTGAATTTTTCGACACACAATTAAAGCAAAGGAAACATATAAATACTGTACTTTCACTTCTTGCGCAACTTCAGCAACAGAGCTTTGCATCGGTTCCTCATAATCAAGCTCTTCCATTTTTTCCTTCATATCCGCAAGATCTTCCTTAAAATCAGATGCAACGGCAGGATGCTGCTGATCATCCGGCTTCTTATCACCGTGCTCATGAATTTCGACATGTTCATGTTCTCGAATACGAACAGTAACAACACTGCTGCTACTACTGTCCTCATATTCAGGCCGAGAAATTTTCCAACGACGCTTTTTCTCTGCTAAAAAAAAAAGTTTATTTAAAAATTCTCGCAAAAATCTGGAGAGAACAGCGAAGCCTTCTTATCAATCTTGACAAAAAGTTAAAACCCTCTTCGCATCTACTTTCCTTGAAAGGAGGAGGTATCTGGATAAAGTTTCTATTAAGAGCAAATGCTAAAAACAATCACTCGATGACAAGGCTGTTGATGGCTCCTTCGTTTGGGGGATTTACGACAATCTCTAATCCCTGACATACGCCGGTGCAAATTTTTCATTGAAACGAAAGAACATATTGTACGTGGGGATTAGTTATGCTACTAGTGGAATCGAAGTTATGGCCTTTGGCACGGAAGCAGCGCTACTTGCCATCAGTATTTTTGAATCAGTTTCAAACAAGTTACAAAACTTACGTTCCACGCCCGTCGTTACTTTTGTACGCTCCATGATCTCGATCTTCTCAATAACTCCATCGTCTACAGCTTCCGGCTAAAACAGTGGAAATTGTGCGTATAAAAGAAAAACACCAAGAAATTCTCCTCCTAAATTTCGTTCTTCAACAGGTAGAGGCACTCAGAAGCAGTCTGTTCGAGTTGATAGAACACCTCCAAAAGCAACCATGCGCTGGCAAGACTGGGACGAGTTTTTTT